AAAAAATTATTTTTTTTGCCCTGGCTGGTTTGGCTCAGCGGTTAGAGCGTTGGCCTGTGGTCCAGAGAGATCTGGGTTCAATTCCTGCTAAGGGTGCATACTTCGGTTGCAGTTTGTCCCCGGCCCTGGTTGGTCGTGCGGGTGGCAGCCACTTAATGTGTCCCTTTCACGTCGATGTTTCTCTCTCTCTCTCCCTCCCACTCTATCTGAACAAAAAAAATGGAGGAATGTCCTCAGGTGAGGATTTAAAAAAAAAAAAAATTGCTGGGAAAAGGCCAGGTAACAAATATCAGTTATCTTTTTGGTTAACCTATTTACTTTGTTATTGCTAACAATTCTGTTTTTTCAAAAAAATTTTTTGTCTTTATTGGTTTTTAGTATGAGAGGAAGGGAGCGGGATAGATAGAAACATCAGTGAGAGAGAACATCGATTGGCTGCCTCCTGCGTGTCACCCACTGGGGATCGGGCCCACAATCTGGGCATGTGCCCTGACTGGGAATCGAATCAGTGACCTCTTGGTGCATGGGTCAACACTCAACCACTGAGCCACACTGGCCGGGCTATTTCTAACAACTCTATAAAAACTAAATTTAAGTACTCATGAATAATTTTACTATGCTTGCTGTCTTAGACTATTACAGGGCACAATATTTTTTTTGAGATATAATAGACATAACATTAATTTCAGGTGTACAGCATAGTGATTCAGTATTTGTATACACAGAATCGACTTGATTTTTGATGGGGTTACATCCTGATAAACCCATTAAGTTGAAATATCAAAAGTCAAAACTGCATTTAATACACTAACTACAGAACATCATACCTTAGCCCAGCCTACCTTAAATGTGCTCAGAATACTTACATTAGTCAGCCATTGTGTAAAATCATCTAACACAAAGGCTGTTTTAAAATAAAGTGTTGAATATCTCATGTAATTTATTATGTGTATTGTTTTTTGCACCATTGTAAAGTTGAAAAATCATAAGTCAAACCATTGTTAAGTCGGGGCCCGACTGTGTTATAAAATGATCACCTCAATAAGTCTATACTTCACATTCATCGCCACACATAGTTACAGATTTTTTTTCTTCTTGTGATGAGAACTTTTAAGATGCACTCTCTTAGCAACTTTTAAGTATAAAATACACTGTTACTGATTATAATCACCATGCTGTATATTCCCTCAGGACTTATTTTATAACTGGAGTTTGTACCTTTTAACCCCCTTCACCCATTTCACACACCCTCTTACCCCCTTCTGGCAACCACCAGTCTGTTTTCTGTATCAATGAGTTTAGGTTTCTTCTGTTTTATATTTTATCTTTCTCTGGCTGGCTTATTTCACTTAAGGTCTTATTTTCCTGAAGGTCTATCAGTGTTGTTTCAAATGGCAAGATTTTCTTTTTTATGGCTGAATAATATACTCCATTGTGTGTGTGTATATCACATTTTCTTTATTCATCTATTGATAGACATTGAGTTTGCTTCTATTTCTTGGCTGTTGTAAAATGCTGCAGCGAAATGGTGGGCCATGTATCTTTTTGAGTTAGTGGTTTGTTTTCAAATATCCAAAATGGAATTGCTGGAGCATATGGTAATTCAGTGTTTAATTTTTTTAAACCTCCATACTGTTTTCCATAGTGGCTGCACCAATTTACATTCCCATCAACAGTGCCCAAGGGTTCCCTTTTCTCCACTTTTTTGCCAACAATTGTTAGTTTTGTCCTTTTGATACCAGTCATTCTAACAGATGTGAAGTGATATCTCATGTGGTTTTGATTTGCATTTCCCTGATGATTGTTGTCTTTCTTCTCATATACAACAAGCAATTAGAAAATAAGATATTTACCATTTATACTAGCATAAAAAAAACAAAGTACTTAGGAACAAATCTAGTGAAAGAGTGTAAGACTTCTACATTGAAAACTACAGATGTTGCTATGAAAAATGAAAGAAGGCGTAGATTAAAAAAACAAAACTGTACCATGTTCATGATTTAAAAGAGTCAATATTACTAAGAAGCCAATCTACCAAATTAATTGGTAGATTAAATGTAATCCTAATCAGAATTTCAGCAGTATTCTTTGTGGAAATTGGAAAGTAGATTCTAAAATTCATGTGAAAGTACCAAGGACTAGAATGACCAATCTAGAATAATAATAACAAAGCTGGAGGAGTTACAGTATTCGATATTAAGACTTAGTATAAGCTCCAGTAATTGAAACAGTGTGGTATTGGCGTAAGGATAGACACATTGACAAATAGAACAGAAGAGAGACCAGAAATAGAACCACAAGAATATGAACACCTGGTTTATCACAAAGTGCCGTTGCATTTCAATAGGGAAAGGATGGTCCTTTTTAAACAGTGTGCTGAGTCACTTAGTTATTATTAATCAGCCTTATAAGATTAAAAATGAACCACAGACCCAAATGTGAAAAATTAAAAGAATTAAGCTGCTAGAAGAAAACAAAATCTTAAGATCTTGGTGTAAGTAAAAATCTTAAGATCTTAGTATATTTCTTAAACAGGACATAAAAAGCACTAACCATAAAAAGGTATGGTTGATAATTTGGATTTTATTAAAATTAATGACTTTTTATATAAAATGACACCCTTAAGAGAAAGAAAATATTATCACAGGCTGGGAGAATGTCGATCTGTAGTGCATATAAGGTGGGCAAAAGTAGGTTTACAGTTGCTCATATAGAAAATAACAATACAAGAATAAACTTTTGCATACTCACAACTGTAAACCTATTATTGCCCCACCCTGTGTATCTGACAAGATTTGTATTCTAAATATATAAAGAACTCCAAAAAATCAATAAACATTTCTAAAAAAATTTTTTTAAACAGACAAAAGATTAGGAGAGGCACTTCACTAAAAAGGGGTATCCAGATGGCCAATATGCATAATCACCCTGATTAGATATCAGGAAATTGCACACTGAAACTACATTGACATACTCTTCTACTGGACCAAAATAGCTTAAATTTAAAAGACTGACCACACCAACCCTGTCCTTTAGAGCGTTGGCTGGCACATCGAAGGGTCATGAGTTCAATTCCTGGTCAAGGGCATGTACCTGGGTTGTGTTTCTCTCACATCAATGCTTCCCTCTTTCTTTGTGTTGCCTTCTTTCTCTCTCTCTGTCCCTCCTTCCCTCCTTTACTCCCCCTTCTTCCACACTTTCTAAAAATCGATGGAAAAAATATCTTCTGATGAGAATTAACAAAAAAAATAAAGTAAATAAAAGACTGACCGCACCATGTGTTGACAAGGATGTAGAGCATTGGGAACATCCATGTATTGCTGGTGGGCATGTAATTAGTAGAATCACTTAAGAAAACTGGCAGTATTTACTAAAGCTAAAGCATGTATACTCTATAACTCACTCCTGGGTATACACTCAAGTAAATGAGTATATATCTCCACCCAAAACATGTTCAGGAATGTTCATAGGAACTGTATTCATAATAGTCTTAAAATGGAAATATTCCAATTTTCATCAGGTGTATTTGTAAAATGGATGATAATATAACAATGGAAAAGAACTGTGACATTATACATTATGTATTTATATAAAGTGTGGAACAACAAACTTGTAGATACAAAAGAGTATATACTGTATGCTCTTCTTTCTTTGATACGGGTGGGTGGATGGATAGACAGAGTCCTAATTTACCTGTAAATGTGGAAATATATACTTGTGGTTAAGGACAGTAGAGTGGTTCCTTTGCCAGAGTAGCAGGGAGGAGGCACAAGTTAGTCTTTGGGGTGCAGGGGGATGGGAAGCAATGGGAAGCATGAGAAGGAATGCCCATAGCTGTGTTAGTTCCCAGCTAGACATAACCAAGATGACCCTTAACAGTGGACTGGGTAAATACAGTAAACTAGCTAATATTCATTAGTAGAATACAGTATGCAGCAATGAACTATACTATAAGCAGTAGCATGAATAATTCTCAGTTCTCACTATACTGAGTGAAAGAAAAAAAGCCATTTGTAAGAGAAGGTATGCTATGATTTCATTCATGTGAGGTTCAAAAATAGGCAAAAGTAAACTTTAGCTCTGGAAGTGAATTAGTAGGTTACCTATTCAGAGGTCAGAGGGGATAGAGATTGATAGGAGGAAGGGAGGGGCACTTCTGGTTTAGCAGTGTTGACCTCACATCAGCATTTGCTCTCTGGCTTTATGCTTTTGCCTTACATTTATGTTCTGTGCATTTTTCTGTAAGTCTCTCTTATACTGCAATTTAAAAAAAAGGTAAAGAAACAAATACCTAAAAGGTCTGTAGCTACTAAAGGGTATGGCAACATTTATAGGTGTTGGTGGGGGGGGGGGGGGTGGAATTTGGTCTATAAAACTGGGAAAAAAAATCTTTGTTTTTATTTACTACTTTTGCATTGTATATGGATTTTCCCACATTATTAGAAAATTTTTCCTTTGTAAAATTTAGGTCTTTTTTTTTCTTCTTTTTTTAGTATTCAGAAAGACATACTTTTAAATTGCAATGTACTCATAATCTATGTTACTTCCTGATCATTTAATTTACTGCTACCAAGCAATTTATGAATTGCAAATATGCTTTTAACTTTAATTTTTTTTTTAGTTTTTTAAAACACATGATATCTTGTATGAGAACCAAGAGCTCATGATTCCTTATCAGGTCACAGGCAAACTCGTTATTAAAATTTAATTCCTTCCCTTTTTAGATTTTTTTATTTGTAACAATTTAGTTATTAATATCAGTTTTCTTGTTTGGCATTTATAATAGTTCCATTTATCACATTGAGGATATGAGGTAGATCTGTGGTTTATTATCTTTGTAAGAATCCTGTCTGCTAATCTTGGTTCCTAGTAGTGACTGAAAATACTCATCTCTATATAAATTGTTTTGGTAAGTAAAATATTGACCATATATATAGCTTTGTTCAAATAGGAAAGAAACTATGTATTCACACACTTGCTCATATTGTTTCTCTTTCTAGAGAAAATCTCTTCATGAAAACAAATTGAAGAGACTGCAGAAGAAAGTAGAAATCTTGGAGGCAAAGAAAGAAGAATTGGAAACAGAAAACCAGGTGTTAAATAGGTGATGTGTTTGTATGTATATATACCTCCATGTGGTTATTTTGATATTATAGAACTTTGTTTCTGGGTATAATGCACTTTGTTGTCTTTTAAAATATTCATTTAACAGAATTCTAAGATGATTCATTATACTCCTAATGTATTATTCTTTTTTTTTTCCCCCTTGGACTGAATGTTCCTTCAAACCAAAAGGTATATGACACATGCCAGTGTTTGTGTTATGGTCGGGACTGACAGGAAAGGTCAGTCACTGGTTTTGGTAGCCAGGGGTGGTGTGAGTTATTGCTGTTGTAACAAGACAATTGTAGTGATTAGATAGTACTAAAACCATGGCTACAACTTTGAATCAAGGATCAGTTTTTGATTTGGTGTAGTAAAATATCGCTGGGCCAAAATTTGTGGTTTTTCATTTATATCAGACCACAGCTAGTAATCTGCATTATTAACATTTTTGAGCAGAGAAGATTTACTGTATTACGTAAGTGGCAGTGGCATTGTATGACCCATTTGATTCAAGTTAATGAAAAACTTTGCAAATTCAGCTAATTAGTGATAGCCTGCAACATTTCAGACTTTTCTGTAATGGAAATTGCCTGTAATAGCAAGCAGCGATGTTTTATAATGTGCCCTGGTCTTCTTGGGTATAATTACCAAAATGTGAACAGTTGTTTTGTTACAACCACCAAGAGGTTTCTAGATCCTAGAATTAAGGCCAACTTTATAATACTCTGTTCCAAAGTAAGATGCTACCAATTTCATTCTAAAATAAAATTCATCTTCCTGCCTCTGTTATAACCATTCATTTTGAAATGTTATTAATTCAAGATTGGGCAGATATGGCACAGATCATCTAGAACTTTGAGTGGTTTTGAAACTATTTGATTACTGGTGTGATTGGTGGTCAGAAAACTCATGTCCATAATGATGATTTGTGAAGGCCTGAAAAGTTAGCTTTTTTATCCGCATTATTCCCCCGAAGGTGGGACTTCACTTTTGTCATTAGTTATACTTTTAAAAATTGGGTTGAACAATATGAAATTCCCTGTATTTGACCATAGTTCACCTAAAAAATGTCAATTTCGTAAGATTTAAAGTAATGTTTTGGTATTGTTGTTTGATTCCTTTTGTAAAATAAGGCACCCTTTTCGTTTACGTTGTCTCCTTTTAGTTTCAGGATTCATGGGTTATGGGAATAGAGTGGAAATGAAAATAAAAGAATCAAGAGATGTTTTATTAATTGGCAAGTAAAACTTTAAAATTAGTTGATAGCCTACGATGCAGTGGTAATAGTAATACATATAATTAAGATGTCATTTCCTATTTCTGTTTATTTTCTTGATAAACAATTTTATATATATTATATTCAGATGAACCTTATAATTTAGAAATCCTTCTCTTGCTATTTAAACTTCCATGAATCAAATTGTTCTTCAATAGTGTATAACTGTATTAAAGAACTTGTTTTTCTTTTCAAGACAAAATGTTCCATTTGAAGACTATACAAGACTTCAAAAAAGACTAAAGGATATACAGAGAAGACATAATGAATTTCGAAGTTTAATTTTGGTTCCTAACATACCTCCAGCAGCATCTGTCAATCTCGTTAGCTTTCAGTCATCAACCATGGTTCCAGGCACGGAACTAGCATTTCCTCCTCATGTGCAGGTATGAGCATTTAGTTTAGGGAAAATGTTAGGCAAATGTTTCTAGAAATTTTTACCTGTTTATATAGAGAGTTAAAAACTCTAGTCTTTCTTTAACAGAGAAGTTTGCTAAGAAGCTAAGTAGATACAAATCTATTCTACCCTCTAGTAATGGTGCTAGGAATAAACTCTTCTTTTAAGCAATTAAAAAGAAGGAAGTGCCCTGGCTGGTGGCTCTGCTGGTTGGAGCATCATCCTGTATATCAAAAGGTTGTGGGTTCAATTTCCAGTCAGGGCACTTACCTAGGTTTCGAGTTTAATCCTGGTTGGGGCATGTACGGGAGACATGTGTCCCCCCCCCCCCCCCCCCTTAAATTCAGTAAACATATCCTGGCATGAAGATAAAAAAAAAAAAAAGAAGGAACTTGTTGATGAGTGTAAGTAATCTAGAGTTTGTAGCTCACTCATATAATACTATTACCATGCATTTACCAATGCACTATACATTTTCCATACAATATTTTGTTTAATCCTAATGAAAAATGCTTTGAGGAAAGGTATTATTATTCCCAATTTACAGATGAGGAAACTGAATCAGAGTTGAAATGACTTCCCTGAGGTCATAGCTAATAATCGACAGAGTTGAATTTCAACGTACATCTGTCTGATTCCAAAACCTGGGCTAATTCTACTGTACTAGATCCTCGAGATACTGAGGGAATCAAATTGGTTGAATGATTTTCTGATGAACTATTAATAAGTAATTACATTTTATAATGCTATTAGATTTTTGTCACTGAATTGAATCTCAGACCAAATGCTTTGTTTATAAGAAACAGCTGTTAAACTCCAATCTTAGAAAGTTGTCATAGAAGTACATCTAGGCCCTGCATGAATATTTTCTAATTCACTCCTTGGTGAATTTTATACCTATCAAAGGATAGATTTGGGGTTTTGCCTAAAATGGTCATCCTTTCCTTGCCCGAGGTGCAGACCTGAATAAAAGAGGGCTGAGACTCCTGCCTAAGTTATTTTCCACTAGTTTTTCTGTCTCTTTTTCTGTGCTTTTAAGGAGGAACAACATCAAAGGGAACTCTCTCTACTTCGTAAAAGACTAGAAGAACTAGAAACGACACAAAGAAGACAACTAGAGGAACTTGGAACACCTGGGGAATGATGTTTTTGGAGAAAAGGGACGAAATCAGTGACTCAATAAAGCTTGAAGTTTTCACATATGTGGCATTTGGATACTTTATTACTGTTTGCCAAAACCCTTGAGTTTGCCTCAAGAGAAGGTACCAGCCACATGCCATATTGCATGCAAGTCGGGATTTTAGGGTTACAGGAATGACAAGTAAAGCATTAAAACAGCTTCAGAGGTAAAATATTTACAGACAGCCCTTTGAGAATGTTAAAAATAAATAAGTGAACTTATTTAATTGGGGAATCAAATTTTAAAATTGATTTTACGTTGTTGAATTTCTTCCTCGTCGTTGAGATGCTTGGCAATAACAGGGTCAGGAAACATTTTCTGGTTTACTGTATACAAGAGTTATACACCTCTAGTTCTTGAAAAAAAAGATGAAAATTTAAAAGTCAGCATAAAAAATACAACATATAGATATCTAATTATAAAACTACCTTTTCTAAAATCTGTGTGCACATAATTAAGAAATATTTATAAATATTAATAAATATTTTTCTATCTAGCTATATTGTCTTGTGTTAGACTTTTTTTTTCAGCCATACAGTATGTATTTAGCAATGGAAAAGATCTCACTGACTTTTGAGTTAGAATTAATAGAAAATTAACAAAGTACAAATAATTAAATCCTGTGGCTTTATAAAACAAGGGCCATTCATTGTAAAACTTGAACCCACTGGGGTCCCTTTAGAAGTATCATTGGTATTTAACTTTGCCTCCCACTGCTTTGGATTTAACCAAATACTATAAATGTTTTATTTCTGTGCATCCCTAAGTATGTCATCATTTCCTTTTGTATGTAACGTCATCTTGTGAAGTTATTCCAGCAGAATTCCTTTAAATCAACAAGGCAAAGCTCAAGTCTGCCAAACCAGGTGAAATGTCCATTATCCAGAAGTCTTCACAATCAAGAGCCTAAGTTGATAATGGAAGTCAACAGTGTAATTGAGCAGCCCTTAGCATCATTTAGAAGAAACGAGACTGACTGACTTCCCAGTATAGCTGCTTATTCAGAGAGTACACAGTGACATCTTGTTCCTGAAAAATAATTTCCTTGGAGCCACTTTGAATTAAAAAACTATTATAACTAGAAAACTTGAAGGAAAAAAAAGACAACAGTCCATATTTACATCAAAATGTTTATTTTTGGATATAGACATTTAAAACATTCATCTCCAAGAACAGCTTCAATCAGATATACAATAAGAAATAGACTTTAAATCCCTAATACATAAAAGGTAACAGAATTTTTAAATGCTGCTGTAGACACTAGTGTTAGGAAAAAAAGTTTATAAATGGTTTTGCACCAAAAAAATATGCAAAGAAACTTGAAAATATAAATTGTTTGCCGTTTGTTTCTCTGTTGCTGTTTAATATAGACCCAGTGACTGATTGTCTTCAGCACACATCTAATTTGGCCATTTACTGCGTTTGGCTAATGGGATCCAAAAATGTGATCTAGATAGTGCTTTTCACTGGAGGATTGACAAACACGCTACATATATTAGTGAATCTTCATACCACCTCAGTGAGGTAGGACAGAAATATACAGAAATTGAGGCACAAAGAGGTAAGTGACTTGCCCAAAGTTCCCAGCAGCACAGGCCCTGCAAGGGGAGGTAAGCCTCCACACAGGACTCATGCCAGAGAGCTGGACGGGGACACCCTCATGGAGCTTTACTAAATACTCAGATAAAGCTGTAGCTGTTCCTTTGAGTTTCCTTAGCACTTCTCTACCCTAAAGAAGGGGAAGTCTTTTGGGCAGCTCTCCTACCGTTGGCTCTCAACTCTCCTACTATTCTCTCACGAACGCCTTCACATCAAGACTATAGCAGCCTTAGATCGGGGGCCAGACCTCTCACCTTTATACTTATAAAGTAACCTATTTGGTAGTATTTTTGAGGTGTGTCCATTGTATAGACAATGGTCAAAAGCGACGAGATTGGGACGGTACCTATCAGGGCAATAACTGCTTATTTTCTCTGATCAGTTTGCTGAGGTATCACCTCTCACTCTTTACCAGATCTGGAGGAGCAAAATGCATTTCTCGCAGACAAATTCACGTTTAAATCCTGATATCCCATACAGTGTTGGTAAATGATTTTAAGGAATGTGTGATCAATGTTTTATTTGCTACTTGAAAAATCTTTCCTCGGGGGTTTGGAGCACCAAGGGTAGAAGGTGCCACAAGGGAAGTTTGGGAGTTGCCAATTACACTTTCTTCTGATTTACTAGGAAGAAAACACAGTGGTATTAAAATTGGTCATGAGCAGCAAAAATTCAGGAGTAAAAAAATCAGCAATAACAAGACTACAGTGTAACTGGATAGGGAGTTCTTTAAAAAGAAAGGCATGAATAAAATGAGTATTTTTAATTCTTTCTCTTTGAGGAATACTTTCAAAAAGTACATAGTAAGACTAAGATACCAAGTTTTATACTAATATTTTTCAGGCCTTTGGCCTCAAATATATATATTCATATATAATACTCCAGTGTGAACAGCAATTTCATGAAATGTAAAATGTATCTTTTTTTTAATCACACACAAGTATTTATAACCACAGGATTCACCAGAACTCTAAAGCAAGGAGACACTAGTATAGAAATGTAGGATTAGAGGAGTTCCTCTTCCACAGATCTGATCAAAGTTTTTAGACAGAAATAAACTAATGATTTTTCTTATACATCCAACATGTCCACTATCAAATACATTTAGTTTAGAAAAAGAAAATGAAAGAAAGGACCGTACCTTAAGACAAAGTGTCTGGATAAAATGCTGTTGCATTTAAATAAAGCCTACTCACTCTCCTTGCTTTAGAGCTCCTTAGGGAAATGGAGGTGAATTGGATGGAGTGCAGTTGGTGACCACTGAAAAACACAGCCCTTTCAACAATGTTGCAACACTGTTAGTTTTTGGTTTAAAACACACACACACACTCACGAATGCTAAGTGTACACACTACCAAATTCTGCAGCCAGCTTTTCCAAGAACTACTGGGGAAAGTTTCAATGCTGCAAATCCTCCAGGTTGCCCTAACACCTCCACCTTGTTTCCAAATGACTCATTTCACATTTTGATCACTGGCAGTGTCCCTTTTCTGCAGAGGGGCAGTGTAGTCACAAGTGCTACATAACTGTAGTTTTCAAACAAAACCACTTATATCATTGTGCTTAAGTGGAGACTGTAGTTACAATACTGACACTTGCTTACTGGCCCTGTATTCTCTGTAAACAAGGAGGCTGTTTGCAACAACCACTTCAACTCTATTTACAGAAGGGTTCCCACGGTATACACACAGGCACAATAGTTGGTATGCTTTCTTAAAGCTGTGCATGTGCCTTGGTCTCTTAAAGACAGTGCTCAAAGTGGAACCTATGTGCAAACTTAAAAAATTAACGACACAGAGTAGCTCAAGCAGCCATTTTGCTCCCAAGTCGTCTGAAGAACTCTGCCAGATTAAGCCAGGCCCCAGAGTGCTTACATCCACTTGCATTTCTTCTTTTCATCAAATAAGACTTTTACATGCAAGAGTTGTTTCTGAGCTTCTTCCAGCCCTCGTTCTCTTTCTAGTTTATTTAGAATCTGTTGACAATTAGAACAGTTATTTTAGATATTGTGGTCTTAGCATTACAATTGTTTTTTTTGCATTCCTGATGCTGTGAGTGGTAAAATCTGTATGAAGCAGATGCCAACATTTTCTTCGATCATTTATGTACTCACTTTGCAAGTTGTTTTGCTAAGTCATTATCACAGGATCAACAGTTCTTTGGCTTAAAATAGAAAACTCACGAGAAATACCAACTGTTTGCTTACAGATATGGGGCCAGACCTCCAAGGCCCTGTTTTATGCATTATGTCACAGCCATTCCAAGCACAGCAAGCATTTCTGGCAGCCAACATGCAGGCAAGTATTTCTTCTTAAATGCAGCAGGCAGGGGCATCCTGGTCAGAGATGACTATTTCCCGTCCCTCCTCTCCCCTCCCCTCCCCAGTGCTTCCCTTCTAACCCCTGACCCTTGGACCGAGGGATGCTTATCATGTTTAAGGAACTCATTGCCTCTACCCTACCTTAGCTCTTCACTTGATCTTCAAGTAGCAAATGGAATTGGTGAGCTATTCTCACCATTGACATGGATAGCCTGTCCCAGCATGACTGAGTGGGGGGGAATCAGGGAAGGGGGAATTAACATATATTTGGAAACAACACATCTGATGACTGTCTGTGTGAATTCCCAAAGAAAAAAATCCAGATTAAGGAGAATTAATCATTAAGGAGAATGGTTTATTGAAATAGTTGCTTAAGTTAGAAAAATGTCATACTTGCATATAACTACCGAATACAGAATCTAGGCGATTTAACAAGCTTAGCTTTGATTTTAGCAGATTACGATCAAGCATAAACTGGCCCCATTTAATAAGGCCACTACTTACTCAGCAGAGTTAACCTGAGTCAATGTGGCTGTAGGTGCCTTGAACTCAAATGTAAATTCAGGCTGGTCCAAAGGTGGGCAGCACAAAACTGGGAGGGGCAGCAGCCATGTGCAGGGTCTGGCATGTGCCAGGGTCCCCCATCACACAGGCCTCCCTTTTCTGGCCACTCAGGATGCCAGGGCCATCCTGAGACCTACCGAATGCTTTATAACCAAATCCTGGTGACTGGCTCAGATCAGTTTTTTTAAATGCCATTTAAAGTCTTACCTCATCAAAATATTTTACGATGTATTTGTAGATTTCTGTCAAGGCCACTTCTTCATTAAATTCATTTTCGTGTTTCTTAATGAAAGAAAGGCTTGTTGAGAAATTCTGAAACGACTTTTTTTTTTTTTTTAAAGACGTAACCAAATATTTTATTTCTACTTTCCAACAATACCTTAGATTCCTGAGTTAAGAATTCTTCCATTTCTGAAGATGACAATGGAGGCAAATCCCTGATTGCTTTGTAATAAGATTTTACTTCCTCTTTATAGGTTGGGATATCCTTGGCATAAAGAAGTTTATTAGTTGGTGCTTCCTTTAAAAAAAAAAAAAGGCAGCGAGTGAAAAAACTGGGGAATTTATAGCGGCGCGAGGGCAGCCAAACCTCCACCGCAGTTAGCACCCCCTGGTCACGCGTCTGGTGCAGTCGGCTTCGTAAATGTTGACTGAATGACTGACTGCTATCCAGATAGTTCTGGTGAGTCACTGTTATTTTCAGGCAGATTAAATGCTAATATATTCTGCCTTACTCTCATAAAGGGACTAAAATTATTATTTTTGCATGATTTGAGTTACTGTAACAATGGAACTTATTTCCATCATACTTCATTACTAATGGCTGTAAAAGCCTGAATTAAAACATTTGCTCTCATCCTCACCCACCAGTGAATTT